TGTTCCAGCTTGCGGGACTGGCCTAAGGGATTTTAAAGGGGTTTTAATTACTTTTAATCAGATTAGTTTAAATATTTCTTTTTAATTAATTTTAATAGGTGTATTGTATGTTTGTATTTTATCCAATTGTTAGCCGCCCTGAGTCCGCAAGGAGAAGGGCGGGATATAAATGTAATTAAATAAATAAATAAATAAATAATAATTCTCCTTGAAGAATATTAAGGTTCATGGATTACAGATAGCTGGCTCCAAGGAGGAGTAAGTTGTTAGCTTTATTGCAGGAAAAATGAGATTGGAATAATCAATCATATGGACCTTTGTGATGTCTGTCATGGGAGAAGGCTTGTCTTCTCACAAAATGGCTGTCATGGAGGAAGGAAAGCCCCAAACAAAAGTCAGGTATTTCAAGGAGCTCCTAGGCATATTAGAAGCCCAATAATTTTGAATTAATGTTGAAAAATAGATTTTGAATTACATTTTTCACTTTAAACAGCTTGCTAAACTCTCAAGCATTAAGACAAAACATCTTTATTTTAATAGTTCTTTAGCTTAAATGCTGGCAACACCTATTACAGAAGTAAGTCTTTAACACTAAGAGCTGTGAAACAAATGGTGAGGTCAGTTGGAGACTGCAAGGAAAAGAACCCCAGCTTTGTGGTTGTAATATCTTGACCTGTCTAGCTGATCCAGTCAAATTCCTTTTTAGCAAGACTTGATGAAAGGAACAATCTGCAAAGGCAGCAGAAGTCCTGGCATCAGAGAACTGTCCTTCCTCCAGCCTCTGAATAAAGATCTCTTTATTTCCTCAGAAGGAAGTGTCTGAAATTTATGGATTCATATATTTATTTCTGAGAGTAACTATAAAGGCGCATCCAGTAAGACTGTTTATACACACCCACTGCTTGGCTCAGTTTGACAGCAGAACTGCAGGGAGAGTCTACACAGACTGTAGGTGTGCAGACAGAGTGGGGTCATACGGAGTTGATCTCCACATGGAACACTGGCTGGTGAGACTGCTGCTGTTTCAGGCAGGTGAGTGCCAATGAAATGTGAAATGATGGAGGTGCTGGCCTGAAAGAAATGCTGATCCTTTCCCCCTTCTGTTTTCCTCATTTAATGCTGACGATGCATTACATGAGCCTTACATTGCTGTATTCAAGTGAAGCAAGGAAGACCTGAATAGGTGAGTAAGCACACTTTTTTCATATTGTCCTCAATCATGAAAACACTTCATGATGTCCCAATAACTTGTTTGGGCATTTAAACAGCAAGGGAATAGTACATTTGTTTTATTTGTAAGTAAAAACTTGCAAACTGAGATAAAGACTGGTTACTTGAAGATTGTACTTATTCCAGTTAGGTGGGTGTCACACCTAAACATTTTATTAGACAATAAAAACCACTTTGGTGAAACTAGTTAAATAGGTATTTCAGCAGAAAGGCAAATAGCAATTCTCATAATTGAATATATCCCCCATCTCTATGTATTTGTGTCTCTTTAAATATCACTGTACCTATTTTTCCATCTTTCTATAGTGATGTTTCTGTAGAAAGGTTTATTTCATATGTAGGCTGAAGTGGACTGAACAAATGTCAGCAGAAAAGGTTTGTTGATTTAAAAACTGAAACTTTTCTGAAATGATACTTGATTTTGAATTTAACTGATGGGTGTCAGGAATCAGTAAAAAAAAAATCAGCCTTAGTTTCTTTTTAATTCTTTGGAGGCCAAAATCTGTGATTTGCAATATGTAAATATTCACATATTGAGTATTCAGTACTAATAATTTATCATCATGCCTATCTCAAGGTGGATATAATTCTTTTAATAAATTGAAAGATTTTGCTAGGTTTTGAGATTGTACACACACATATACACAGACACACACAGACACACACACACACACATGTATTTCTCTCTATGATGTTTGAGCAATTCTGCAATGTATATTTATATGCTTTAAAATTTTAATGCTTTAATATAATACCTTAATATGTTTTAAATGGAAGTAGAAGTAGACTGTTTCTGTATAAGCATATATATGCCTGCCTGTTATGACACAGATGTTGCATTTGCTACTAAGCTTTTTATTTTCGTCTTACAACAAAAATCACATATTTGTCTTTAGTTTTAAAATTAAGGTTGAAAATGTGTAACAAACAGAATATTGCATTTTCAGGCATGCATATTTGATAGTCAAGGAATGTCCTGAAAAACAAAAGCAAGTCAATTTTAAAACAGTTCTTCAGTTTTGAGTTTTGTTTTTGTCTTGGAAATGAGTCCAAGATAAACGGCAAAGAATTCTATTCAAATCAGGAGGTTGAAAGGTTGCCTCTTCCATTTTGTTGTGTTTACCAATCATTTGCTGCATGCCAAACATGGTTTTAATTTTCATGTTCCTTGACAACTGTGCAGACTAAAATTAATACACATAGTTTATAGCAAATAAACTATATATATAGTATATTCATATTGCCTATAAGGAGTCCCTTGAAAGCCCTGTTCATCTTTCACCATGTTCAGGAAGGGAGTTTGTTGAAAACTATTGCATGGAAAAAAAGAAGTTGGTTCCTTCAAAATATCAATGTTGATGTGCATCTTTCTGTATGCAGATTTGCTCAAAGCCTTGAGCAATATTGAAGACATAAATGGGCAATTTATTTTCTGAAAGGGCTGCTTTTCCTCATGACCATATGCCAGTAGAAGTTGGGGATAATACAAAAACTTGATTGGGCCTTCCATTTTCATTATTTATAGTATCCTCCCTTTCTTTGTCTAAAATGTCTTTTCTCCCGATGCTGCACATTTAATGGTCATACTAAAGTACTATTTCAAGTAGGTTATTTTAAATACTTCGATTTATAATTAAATGCTATGTTAAACAGCCTCAGATGTGAGAGAGGTAACACCAACCCAAAACTTAATCTTAACTTCCTCTTCTTTCTAACAGCTGCCCAATACTCCAGCCAAACACAGATATAATGTATATATTAATGCAGAAGCAGATTGTGTAAAAACAGAATGGAGCTATTCAAATGTAATAAAATCTTAATTTCTGCCTTTGCAGTATGGAATGGTGTTCTTGGGAAAAAACACTTTGTGAATAAAAGGGGACTCATTGAATTATACGGAACCCTACAATGTGGTACAAACCGATTTCCTTTGCTCTATGTAAGTTACGGATGCTATTGTGGTCCAGGAGGAAGTGGATGGCCTGTAGATGAAACAGATTGGTATGTACACCCCTTCTTTCATATTTCCATTACATTCTTCAGATGAATTAATTCCACTCTATTTAATACATTTTAATGAAGTCAGATTTACTTTGAGACAAGAATATCTAAGAGCTGTGGTGGCGCAGGGGTTAGAATGCAGTATTGCAGGCTAATTCTGCCGAATGCCAGCAGTTTGATCCTGACCAGCTCAAGATTGACTCAGCCTTCCATCCTTCTGAGGTTGTAAAATGAGGACCCAGATTGTTGGGGGCAATATGCTGATTCTGATAATTGCTTAGAGAGGGCTGTAAAGCACTATGATGTGGTACATAAGTCTAAGTGCTATTGCTATTTGGAAAAAATAATAGTATAGAAATAAGAAAATAATCATGAGCACTCAGTACAGAAACATGATTAGTATAAACCCTTTCCAGATGTCATCATAATGTTGCTAAATTGAGAAGGCAATAGAAGAAAAGGTATGACCATGTGATCTCTTGTTGCAGTGGAACCAGAGATGCATTTATTTTGAAATATTACACTTAATGTTTCCCCTCTACATATATAATAATATGTATTTGTGAACAATGTATTTGTGAACAATAAACTTTGTTGCTATGTTTTCCTAAGAAACTGAGTTCAGAGAAGTGGTTACTTCTTAAAATATTCAGATTCATGAGCTTCATGGAAGTATTTGATTGGCCTTGAAAATGACACATTCACCAGAACATTGTAAAACTAGAGATAGAGTTTCACACTGCTGCACATTCTGCTTGATGTTCAGGGCTCACCTCAATGGTATTAATTGGTCTCTGTTGCTGAAAGGTGCTGCCATAGACATGATTGCTGTTACGACTTTGCACAACGACAAGGCTGTCAACCTGAAATACACGGATATAAATGGACTTGTCAGAACAATACTGTGATATGTGGTAAAGTAAACCTGAATGTCATTATTTTTATTTACTTTATCTCGGAGATGCACAAGTACATACAGCTGTTCTAGAGCAGGGCTTTTCAACCTTTTCACCCATTGTACCACTTTTAGGATATGGCAACATCTGAGTACCACCAGCAAGGTATCAAAAACGTGATGACCAAAAAAAAAGTAATAAAGTACAGGTAGTCCTCGACTTAAAACAGTTCGCTTAGTGACTGTTCGAAGTTACAATGGCACTGAAAAAAGTGCCCCCCAAGGCACAGGCGAGCAAGACACCTGCCTGCCCACCCGGCGGTGCTCTTTCTCCTGTCCAAGGTTTTCATTCTTGTGAGCATTTCTGTTGAGGATTGGCAGCGGGGTGGGGGGGTGTTTGGTTTTTATTCTCCCCATCTGCTGGGTGGTTGCAGCAGGTTTTGGTCACTTCACATGACCCTGGGACACTGTGACCATCATAAATATGAATCAGTTGCCAAGCATCTGAATGTAAATCACAAGACCCTGGAGATGCTGCAACATTCCAGCTGATCGGCGCTTCTTCTGGGCTCAGCAGAAGCACCAGGATCAGTGCTGCTTTCCAGCTGATTGGTGCTTCTTCAGGGCTCAGCAGAAGCACCAGGATCAGCGCTGAGCTCCAGCTGGAGCCTGGTGCTGATCCTGGCGCTTCCACTGAGCCCTGACAGCCCTGCAGCTCCAGCCATCTCTCACTCAGGCTTGTGTGGTGCTGCTACCGGTTCAGCTCATTCCCCTCCCCCGCTATCACTTTTCTAGGATGGTCGCATACCACCTACCAGGTGCCAATTAACAGAGGTGGTACCCGTACCACTGATTGAAAAGCCCTGTTCTAGAGGTAAAAAAGTCATCTTTAATTTTAGAAGATCCTATTGGTTTTCTCAGAGATCTTGGAAGATTCATAGCATTGCTGTAATCAACTTTAATTTTGCAAAGCTGCCTGAAGATTTCAGCTTACAGAAATGCAATGTAATAGTAATTGAATTAAATCTTTCTCTAGGCTAAAAGTGATTGTGGAAGGGTATTGATTTTGTTGTTGGATATTTTAATTAATTAATTAAATGAGGTTTGATCAGTAACAGTATTGTACTACTATCCTATGGCTAGCCAAAGTATCATTTTTCCCCCATTTTGCTAAGCCTGATGCTAGGACATGCCAGTTCTTTTGTCCAAGCCGTTACTGGGATGGAAAAGTTCATACACATATAACTTTAACTTAAAGCAGTTTCAATCTTTTTGTGGAGAGTAGTAGTAAGAAAAAGGCCTATATTGAATATTGACAACAGATATATACTGTCGTATGCTAAGTTATGTCATGTACTTTACTCAAGCTGTTTGTAGCATGTTGTCAGTTTTCCAAAGTTTGTGGTTAGTTTGAAGATGGAAAGATAAAGTTCTGGACAGAAATCAAAATATGTAAATATGTAAAATATATAAGCAGTATTGAATTGCTATAGATTTTTATATGCTGCAATTCATAAACCACAGGTGGGCAAAATCCAGTGATTTCAGGGATGTAGGCCATTCGTTGTAGCCACACCTTGACTGTGATGGCTAAAAATAGTGATACAGTTTTGTTTTTTGAGGCTCAGGGCACATTGAAACTATAGGATATGGTTCACAGAACTTTTCAAAAACGAACCAGTTCTGAAAACTGCAAAACCCCAGCCCTCTTCAGTGGCCTGCCTACTGTGGCCCTTGCTCTTGGACACTTCTCAACATAAAGAACAGCTTTTGATCATCAACCTCCATAACAGCAATAACAATAGCACTTAGACTTATCTACTACTCCAAAGTACTTTAAAGCACTCTCTGAGCAGTTTACAATGTCAGCAAATTGCCCCCAATAATCTGGATCCTCATTTTACTGACCTCGGTCCTTCTGATGGAAGGCTGAGTCAATTTTGAGCTGGTCAGGATCAAACTCCTGGCTGTGAGCAGAGTTAGCTGCAATGCTGCATTCTAACCACCATACCATCACTCTTAACAGAGTACCATGACTGTGGATTTCTTTAAAATTACAGTTTTACCTCAGAGTACAGAAGAACAGCAAGGGTTAAAATCCTTTGCCCACTTAGGAATAGAAATAGAAATAGAAATAGAAATAGAAATAGAAATAGAAATAGAAATAGAAATAGAAATAGAAATAGAAATAGAAATAGAATAGAATAGATTGAAGGTCTTCTAGTCTAGCCCCCTGCTCAAGCAGGAGAAACTATACCATTTCAGATAAGTGATTGTCTAGTGTCTTCTTAAAAATCTCCAATGATGGAGTGCCCATGATTTCTGAAAGCAAGCTGTTCCACTGGTTAATTGTCCTCACTGTTAGGAAGTTTCTCCTTAATTCCAGGTTGCTTCTCCCTTTGATTAGTTTCCAACCATTGCTTCTTGTCCTGCCCACTGGTGCTTTGGAGAATAATTTGACCCCCTCTTCTTTGTGGTAGCCCCTCAAATACTGGAGGTGTTTTCTTTTTCATACTTCATAAAACTCAGAAGTTTAGATTTCTGGAGTCACCTGTTGCTGAGATCCTGCCCTCCTGAATGACTCTTGATTCTTAAATTCCAAGCTGAGTTTTCATAGAAAGGTCTAGAAAAATGTTTGTTTTTAAAAGAGGATATGTGAGATAGGGCTTTACAAATAAAAATGAATATGGGAGTATACCAGTGATGGCGAACCTTTTAGAGACCGAGTGCCCAAACTGCAACCCAAAACCCACTTATGCATCGTCGCGTGCCAGGTGGGTGTGGCCTATTGGGTGGGTGTGGCCAATTGGGTGGGTGTGGCCCATTGGGTGAGCATGGCTGCAGTGGTAACGGCAGACTGGGTGGGACTAAAAAGTTCAATCAATCAATTCCAACTTTGCAAGATCTTTTTTTTCCCCACAAGAAGTTGAAATTGACTGATTGATTTAACTTTTTTTTTTTTTTTTGCACATGGCAGCAGGGACCTAAAGTGAAAAAGTTTTATAAAACCCAGTTGAAGGCCTAGGACTGGGACGACGGCACGCGTGCCCACAGACAGGGCTCTGAGTGCCGCCTCTGGCACCCGTGCCATAGGTTCGCCACCACTGGAGTATACAGTGCACTGTTTTAACATATACATTGAAAAGAATTATGTAATTGTAAGATATAGAGGGCTAATGCAAACTTGTTACACCTAGCCAATGCTTTAATGCCCAATCATGAATTTTGTTTTTTCTTTTTTTAGTATCCAAAATGGCCTTCAAGCAGTATGAATTTCATTTTAACAATTTTGAGGTGTTCAAAAAAGTTTCAAACAGAAAAATCCACTATCTTTTAAGATTATGCAGCTTAATAAATGCCAATTTCATAGATAAGCAGGACTACTTTATTTTTGTGCTCTATTTCATCAAAACCAGCAGTAGTATCTTCTTCATTCCTTTTTTCAGATGCTGCTCTAGACAGATGTCAAAATATAATTTGCCAGTGTGACAAAGAAGCGGCTCAGTGTTGGAGATTTGCACCATTCAAAAAGAGCTATGCCTTCTGGCCATATTATCGTTGTGGTCCAATATATCCTTCATGTAGCTATAGGCATTAATAGATTTTTATAATAAACAATTTAAGACTGATGAGTTTTTGTTTTTAATATGACGGTGTTTATTTGCACATTTTTCAGTTTGAAGGTTACAGGTTTTCTGATCGTTTATACTTTTCCAGCTTCTGAAATTATGAATCATACTTCTGACTACTGCAAACATCTAAACAACTTGCCCGCAGCCTGCCAAGCATCTTCGGATCGCCCATGACAGGATACTGAGGTCCAGCGCCTTCAGACAACATTGCAATGCCCTGAATACAAACTGCTGGGGAGCCTTTCCGCTAGGCTAGACTGTTTTGTTCGGGCTTCTGCTGAACTACCAGCCCCAGCATTCCCAAACAAGCATGCCAGCCCCTCTCCCTTTCTTCAGCCAGGTTGGGATGGCAACGCCCAAAGTCTCACGCTCATAGGTAATTCTGGGAGTTGTAGTTTCCATACTGTTGAAGAGCGTGGGTTTAGGAGGGCTGTTTAAGATACAGCAAAATCCACTTTATTATATCCTTGACTCACTTGAGTTTATTGCCTCACTTGTGGAAACTTGTAGCTTTTGCGGTTCTTGCTGAGCTCACAGCAGTTTTCAAAGAAATGACTCTTAGACATGGCTCATTTTAAAGTCCACATAAATGGGTTGCTATGATCATTTAAAGTTGAACACACAGAAGCTCACATACAGAAATCCATACTCCTCTGACATTCTCCACAGATTCTTATTGTATTTCTCTTTGATGTTCTACAAACAATTGCATATCTGCATTTCTCTTTTCAGCCTTTCTTCATTTTAGTCTAGCACACTGTGGAAATTTACAGATGAGTATGATATGGGAACCCAGAGATCTGGATTCCAAAAATCACAATTACACTAGTTTATCACGAATAAGGCTATCCTAGAAATATAACCCTCACAATACCCTGAGACGTATTTAATATCAGTTCTATGAATATGAAAAGTTGTTCTACACAATCTTTTTCTACCTGAGGAGGAAAAGTGTTGGCGTGGTATTGCTATATGAAGATCAAAACAGTTAAATGATAAACATGGGAAGAAAAGCTCTTTACCATATTTCAGTTTTATTCTCAAACCAATGCTTTCTTGTGCTTTATATACTATAGAAGGCTGGGGGAGGTCATCATGAATAGTGTAAAATGTGAAATATTCTGGTATAGTGCATAGGAACCTATGGTTAGCTTGGAATTTATGTCAACATAATAGGTAAAACAGCACCTTATTTACTGGAAACATTTACATTATTTTTCCGTTTTGAACAAATGCCAATATTCCAGGTCTAAATTTATATTTGCAGGTTTTTTATTAAGTTCAGTTAATTCACAAACAGAGTCTTATGACTTGAGAAGCTTCTGGCAACACATTTTTTGATAAAACTGTGAATATCAACTTTTCTATAAATATTTTCTAGCCATAATGCATTCATAGAAGGGGAGGGAGAACCCCTGAAGAATGTGAACAAAATGAGAGCAGAAAAATGCTCCCAGTATAAATATATACAGTATTTAAATACTGTTTGTTTTTTTTAAATTCTAGTTAAAATCATCTTAGGGTGATTAGCAAATTATTTATTTAACACCCTTTTCTTAAAGCTAGTCCTGAGTGATATGCTGGCCTATAAAAATGCAGCACCATGCCTTGTTCAATTATTGGTAAGCTTCATAAATCCCACAAAATAAAACCTGCATAAAGATACTGACAATAGATCGTAACCTTTTACTACTATACTGCCTTGGGATTTGGGAAGTTGAAATTCTGTCTATGGATGCCGGGTTAGGGAAGACTGCTCTAGCTCAGTGGCTTGGAACCAGAAAACTTTTTTTTTCTGTTGTAGTTCTTATATGAAGAATATGCTGCAGTAATGATTAGTACTTAATACTGGGAGGAAATGGTCTTTGAAATGCTGTTAAATTTGTTTTTAGGGAAAGTATTTATAAATTATATTAGTAAGGCTGTCCAACTCTAGGCAATTCTGAGGAGAGAATTAAAACAATATATGAAAACCATTGAGGCAAAATACTTAACCTAGAGAGAACAACCTGTAACATGTGCCACACCTTCTCCTCCCCAAAGGAGTATTCCATAGTCTATGTCTTGAGGGAAATTCTAGATATTTAAGGCTTGCTTGAAGGAGAGCAGTGTAGGGGCTGTTCAGATATCAAGAGGGTCTCTTCTGGTCAAGTCATTCCAGTTTATGCAACAATAAAGGCACATTTCTAAGAGCTGATCAGACAACATTTCTTAATGAATGTCATGTAGGGTTAATCACCAACATCTTGAACTGTGCCTAGAAACTTAACTGGCAGACAGTGTAGTTTACAAAGGGATGTTACATGACTATATTGAGGTATTCCTGTTATTGCTTGCACAGCCACATTCTGGATAGTCTTTAAGGGCATCCCCATGTACAGCAAGGCATGGGTGATCATGAGGAAGGCTTCCCCATATAAGAATGAGCACATCTGATATGCCAGATGGATCCGTACAAAGGTCTTGCTTGTCACAGCTGCCACCTGCTCTTTGAACAGGAGCTGAAATTCCAGAAGAATTCTACACCTGTCCTGAATTCTACATCAGTCCTGAATTCTACATCAGTCCTGAAGGAGAATGATGACTCCCAACTAAGGATGAACATTCCCTAAATCTGGCTAAACCCTACACTTACAGTCATTTGGCCTTGTTAAGGTTGGACATAAGTCTGCTCCTTCCCACCCAGACCTCAATAGCCTTCAGGCATTGGAACAAATCTTGCATCTCTTGGTCAGCCTTGAATTGGGGAAAACATCTGAGTATCATTGGCATGCTGTTGATGCCTCTAAACCAATGGATGACTTTGTGCAGTAGCATCATGTAGGTTAAACATGAGGACTGAGAACATTGAGTCCTGTGGCACTCCATTAATACATTAAATGGCTTTGAATTCTATCACTTTCTTCCTATCAGTTTAAACAGGAACTAGTAAGGAGAAAGAGGAGAACCACCACAACAAGTGCAGTCAGTGTAATCTCCACATTATGTCCCAACCTGAAACCCAATGGAAAAGAGTCTATCCAGATCTTCCAGGGATCTCTGAAGCTACAGCTTGACTATTTTCTTTTTAAATTTTGCCAGAAAGGAGAGGTTTAAGCCTGGACAAAATTTGTCAAGAACTTTTGGATTCAGTGTATGCTTCTTGAGGATATATATAGGTATACATACATACATACATATATACATACATACATACATACATACATACACCATACCCTCTTTAAAAGAAGCTGAATTATATAATGGACCTAATCACATTATCTTCTGGGAGGCTTTCACCGATCCAGAGGGACATGGATCTAATCAAATACATGGCCATGTTAATACTCTTGAGGATCTTGCTAGTTCCCAATGAATCACACAATCAGACTTTTCTCAGCTAGGGAAGCAAGACTGTTATTTTGTCATCTCAACCAGATCAGACCAGTATGAATCTAACTCTGACTGAACTTGAGAAACTTAATCCATCAGGTACCTAGGATATTCTTCACAGAAACCCAGAATATGGTCCTATAACCCATCCCTTCATACTAATGAATGATAACTTTAAAGAATACAGTTGGATGGATCTTTATGGGTACAGTGAGAATGGAAAAATAGTAGGCTTTGCTGGACTTGTCACCGCAATGAAATCCCCATTGCAGGAAGCCAGTCAGTGAATCCAACCAGCATACCTTAGCTGACTGTCTTCCTCCAATGGCACTCTAAACATCTCTGTTGTTTTATCTTCTAGATCTGCTGAGAAAACCAAGCAACTCTCTGGGATTGACTCTCAGGCAGATGTCACATGGCAGCAATCCAACCCTTGTCACTTGCCAGTTCCAGGCCAAAACTAAGGCCTCAGTTGAACTGACCACCAGATTCTTAGGGGGAAAAAACCATGGTTTCACCTGGAACCAAACAGTCCCTAAACCACCCACCTCCCTTCCGAAAAACCAATCAAATAATAATCAGACCATGATAAACAACTGATGGACAATGGGTTAAATAAACAGTTTAGTTAATTATGCTTAAGTGCAGTTTGAGGGCAAATTTAATTTACTGTACAATAAATAACACGCAGAAATATTCTTTTCACTACTAGATGTAAGCAATGTAGACTGAAAACTTCAATCTAGAATTTACTTTTATGTTTTAATGAATCAAATAAATCAGCATATACACTATTCCAATGATGGAGAACAAACTGCAAAGTCAAAAAAGCACATACTGTAGGTTTGGCCTTGTTGCTGTAGTCCCAACTCTTCTTTGTTATGTTTCACCAAGGATAATCACTTGAAAATAATGGATTAATTTTAATTTTCTAAATGAGCAAAAAAAGACAGGAAAACGAAGAATGAATATTTTTTCAAAAATTTTGTATGGATAAAAAGTGGTACACCTATGTTCCTTCCTTTTTCAAAATCAAAAAAGGAGAACTTCCAGATTGATTTCAATTCTATTGTCTGCTCAGACTCACTAGGAACGTTTATTAAATTTGCCTGCTGCCCATCTCACACAGTAGCTTCTCCTCTGGCTGAGTGAGGGCTGATTCTTTCCAGAGTAGCCCTAGCAGAGCCCAGGAATCTTACTGTGCAATTGTGCCTTTCTGCTGGTCTTCGGGAGAGCGGGCCACTTCGGCCAGAGAGAGCTCCTGCATGGTCGCTCTGCTTTGGTGCTGCTGGCCCTTTAAGCCGAGGGGAAGAGAAGCGTTGCGAGCGAATGGCGCTCGGGTCCGCTTGCGGGTTGCATCCTTCTTCTCTCCATGGTAAGAGGCCCTTTCCTCCCTCCGCGTCTTTTTATGGGCAGCTGGATTTAAAGTTTAGCGTACAATAAAAACAACTGATGGCTTTTGGGGATGTCGGATTGAAAGTGCGCGTCTGTCTTCTCGGTTGCCCTCGGACAGCGGCCGCGTTTCCGTCTCCCGGCGACGGTTGCTGAAAGAGTGGCGGAGTCACTTTGGAGACCTAAAAGAAAAAGGCGGAAAGTTATT